GGTCCTTCTCTCATATTCAGCTCTTCCCGCTTTGACATTCGCGGCTTTCGCAGTTTAACCGTATTTTCTCTTGCCGATCGATCGTCAGGTTTGCTAGTCATCGTGGGATAATCCCATTCTTCTGTGTTTCTAAAGCAACACCTTAAGTTTCACCGTCCATCCACATCTCTAAGCAAAAAAGATTACCCGATTTCTTGTAAAACATAGCATTTAACGCTTAAATTTAGACGCGTGCGTATCTTTATCGCAAATCAATGAAAGACCCCAGAACCGGACCGGACCTGTAATTTCGCCAATGCTGTCTGTGCCTTACAAGAGTGATTGAAAGGTAAACGACGTGAATATGTAATGCGCGAAATAAGTGGATGATACGGTAATCCTGACAGTCAACTGCGAATCATCGCATCAGAATAGATCAAGTAAAGGGTGCTTGCAAACGCGTCACTCAAGGGGGACTGATCGTCAACGCCGAGAGATCTGTCGATTGCACTGCTCATTCCAGAAGACGGAAGCCATCTCCGCGAGAACTACCGTAATGTCAGCCAAGAGTCTGTGTAGTCCTGAAGTTCAAGCAAAGTAACGAAATGAAACATCCTGATGCAGTAGTGAACAGTCATCTCAAGCAAGATGCGCGACTCGCGTGAGCGACATTCAAATTCACAACTCACGCTTTGCCAAAGAGAAACGCATTCAAATAAAGCTGCTTCAGATTTTTGCACATCGTTGCTTAACGCCGCTGATTCGATTCGTCGGTCCTGCATAACTTAATGATCCACTGAACCAAACGATTGGTTCATATGTTGGCTCAGGATCCCGTGCGACAAACGGATTACATCTTGAAATACTGGCAGGATAGACAGATGTCTTGGGCATCAAACTCTGGGTTACCGAACTTTGCGAAACACCTTGACCGATCAAGAAAACATTCACTACATGCATACCTTATGCTGCATAACACTTCAGAATAATCGTTGCAAAAAATCATTTCAGGCAATGTGATGCAGAGCAAAAATGCTTAGTAACTTCTCCAAACCCTCGTCCGATGAATCGACAGGGACGCCGGAAGCTCAGTCATTGAAAACATTGTACCAATTCTAGTCGTTCACCGAGAAACCGTTCCTCCATGCTGACCTAGTGTCGTTTTTTACTCTTCCACTGTTCAATAAATCATGTTCGTACAGATGATTTGCCAGCACATAATTTCCATAACCGATACACGTTGGTATTGGCTGGAAGTCAACTTAAATCAATAAAACCTTTTCCTTCTAAATAACGCTGGTTGGATGCTAAATGAACTGACCATGAAGTGTAAGTCTAAATTTTCATTTGTTCGCATGCCAGAATGTACGAATGAGATCAAACGACCGCTGATCAGACTTTAGAGTAGAATATCGATGCATATTAATTCATTTAATTGTTCTGGAATCTTCTTTTCGTTCAGTGCAAACAAGAAACTAAAGACAATGTCATAAAACCTTTTCAATGGCTCGAACGCGATTTGATGTTACCAATCAGCGCCTATCATCAACATATCACTGACTACGATGCAATAGTATAATTTAATCATGACAACCGGTCTCGACTGACAAGGTTAAATGTTCCAACGCAATTTCTGAAAGACCCGCCAGATGATATATCAGTTGTAACTCAATTCGTTACAGCTTCTATACTCGCTATGCAGTAAGCTTTTGTTAACAACAGGTATGGCAATTATACGATCAGTAGCATTTGTAGGACGAAACGAATGTACCAAAGTAAAACACCAAAGATACTAAAGAGTCGGCCTCAGAATTTCTCACCGCGACTACGTGTACTGCACTTCCATTGCTCAACCTTCTCCTAGGCTTACCAATACACGTAAATTTATGTTCATCGCCCTGCCGTTCTGCTTTCGGCTGTTTTCCGTATTTCGAGCCTTCAGAAAATTAGTGACCACAGAGTGCAATCAGACTTGCATTGACTTCGCTATATAAACATAGCATACGATTACAAAACCTGCCAAAATTTTGGTCCCGCCAAACCTTCTATTGACAAGTCACCTGTTATCATGCCGTTCAACTCATGTCTATTCAAACAACTCCAACAGTTTTCAGAAAGTTACGGTCATTGTACTGACGGTTTGCCGTAAAAAAACTTTTATCATTGCTCAAGTCAAAGGCTAAGAAAAGAATATCGTCGATCAGCAGCAGATATTTTCCATCGTTCAGGATGAAATCGCTGAAACTATTCAAGCGAACCGCTTCCGACATAATGGTGTCGTCCTCTGACGTCAGTGACGAGTGCAGAAAAGCTCAAAAGTGTTAAATAAACACCTGATTCATGACCTGACAAAAATGAAAAAAAGAGCGGTTTTGAACAGAATCTGCTCGATTCACGCCGGAACTGAACACCAGCTCTGTCCAAGTGAGGAGAGAAAGGAAAATCCTGCGTGCGAAAGCTGTTCGACAACCAAACTTGATCGGACAGCCAGTGCTAAGCAAGCAAAATCGACAGAGCAATGACAGCGTTACAAGAGCTAGGGTCCGATCCCATCGCCTGGATATCGCAATTACACATGGACATGAAGATGTTGCTTGCATACGCAAGAAGATGCATGCACAAATCACTTTTCTACGACATAAAAAGATAAACCATACAGCTGATACGGACAGTTATGCGAAAGTTATGCAAATCAAAAACTGCAGCCACAGAACTGTGCCATGGCGTCGCACCGACAATCGATCTGTGAAAAAACGAATCGCACTGCAATGATCCATTAAAGTACGAAACGATCATTCGAAAACGAAACAAGGTAGAAGCAGAGACCATATGTTAATAATTTTGCATTGCAGCTGATTATTGTGTTGACGAGTGGTCCTTGACTTTGGGGTCGAACGTTTTTCACTACTTCAGGATGCACTCACTCCGGTTCGACGGTATCGCCTATCTATATTTCAGTCAGGAAGCACTTACACCCTACTTGGGAAGCGAAAACGGACATTCTGAGGAATGGGGACAGTCTACATGAAACTAAAAAGCAGATACATCGTATAAAGCCAGAAAAAACATTCACTCCAGTAACGTAGCCGTTTTCAATTACCTGCTGGATAAAGGCCTCTCCAAGACTGTCATAAACTTCTTTCTTCTGCTATTTTCATGTATCTTGATCAAACGAACTCTTCAGCTAATACAACCATCGATCAGGTCTTCGAATGAACTCTTCCTTGAAAATTAGTCGAATGCCTCTCTGATTTAGTGATCTGCAAAATT